TCATTACTTTAGTTAAATCTGATAGATTTTTGCTAAAATGCTAATGATTCTTACATGTGTTGATGGATCCATTTGCAACAGGTGGATAAACTATATATGGTTTTGCTTTAAACTGCCCACAGTGGACAACTTCTCTTTATAAACATCTCTTCTCCCAGGTATCTCTAAAATAGCTCAGGCTTTATCTATTCACTGACTTCAGAAAATGCCTTTAATTGGAAAGTCAGTATGTGTTGGCTGATGTGGATCAAAATGAGCATAATAAAGTGTCTTGACAGATCTAATTCGGTTTTTTTGTGGCACAACAAATGTCCTACAAGTAAGCGAGTTTTACCATCTAAGGTATTGTATATTAGAAACTTCTGGAATTGCACTGAGAAGGGGATAAAAACTATGTCATTTATAGAATATACACTTTAATGCTGACATAAGCGGCTCAAGCAGACTAATGGACTACTATAGGAATGCCCTAATCAAATGTGAGTGGTAACTGAAGGCTAGTCCCAGCAGTGTTCATTGTGGTAACACCCACTTGAAGCAGTAGGCTGAGAAGACTGCAGTGGGGCACATATTATGGAAAAGCCAAAGATGTTTAGATAACTCAGAGAAGAAAGAAAGATTGGTTAAATCATTTCTGAAAGTTGGGATACTGGGAACAACCAATGCAAAAACTACTCTGCATTCCGAGTTCGTTTGTCAAGAGCTACATGGCACTGCCTTGCTATTTCCCTTTCTGCTTACAACACCTCTAGCTTCTCTGGGTTGAATCTTACCTTTTTTTTCCCATCTCAGCTGCAAAAGTGATCAGCAGCTTCAGTTCACTATGTCAATATAAAGAAAAAAAAACACAAAAAGAAACAAACAAGAAAACCCCCACCACAAACCAACAACAACCAGCCAAAAAACCACCCCCCAACTCCACCCCCCAAACCAGATGAAAAATGTTTATCTCTTGGTAGTTTTCCTGTAATGTGATTTAAGGATCCTATGCCATAGTTCCTGCAGCTTCAAGATCCACAAGTTATATCTCCAAAACAGAAAAAGTTTTTGAATAGCATCACCACATTTGATACCAGTTTCTGAAATACATAAATAGATCCTTGCTGAGCAGATGAGACCACCACAGGGTGCTTAGAACAAAACCAGGTTCCTATTGTTAGGCTGTGGTTGGCTCATTATTGAAAGAAAAGAGGTTACAGCCTAGGTGATGATGACCTTCCCAACAGAATGGATCACGGAACTGGGATTGCCTTGGACAGTGCCATTGCATACTGTTTGCAAATCATGATCTGTTCTCCAGCAATGTCTGGTGTGTTTGATACTCTAGAGGACCAGTAGCAAGGTTTTGTTTTCCCTGGTGTGTAAGGCTTCTGTTACCTTATATATGTCTCCTGTGAAGTGATTTGAGTAGATATGAATCCCCCCTTAGAAGAGATTACAGGGGATTAAAGAAGTTAGTAACTGGGCAAAATAATTGGTAGTCCTTTCTTAATGTGTCTCCCACTGTGCAGCTAATTCTTCCATCAATGAGACAATAAAATAGTGAAGATTACATATGTGCTGAATGATGGACATACTTGACCAAGCTGGGAGGGATGTAATTTATACAACAGCACAAGTGCTGAGAGATGCTGACTGCCCAGGTGACAGGCTGCAGTGGAGAAAACAGTTCTTGTTTCCCTCTGGATGGCTCCCCAGAGCTCAGTGACAAATGACTGCACTGAGTTACACAGTTGGAGAAAATCTACTAATCGAGCTGAAATTATAGGTCACTTGAAAACATTGTCTGTCTGAATGCTCCTGCAGTAGCTGTGCACGTCCTTAGTCTGTAGTAGCTTGGGACTGCCCCTTCTGTTTATTCTGTTTGCATTGGGGTGGAGCAGCACAACAGGGTCTCTGTTGTGCCATTTGCAAATGAGAAGCAATGTCTTAAATGGGAACTACTGACTGGTCAGCCTCACCTCTGTGCCTGGGAAGATCATGGACCACATCTTCATAGAGGCTATGCTAATGGACATGGAGGACAGGGAGGTGATTCAAGACAGACATCACAGCTTCACTAGGGGCAAGTCCTGCTTGACCAACCTAGTGGCCTTCCATGATAGAGTGACTATAGCAGTAGGCAAGGGAAGTGCTATGCATGTCATCTGTATGGACCTCTGTAAGGCCTTTGGCACAATACCTTGCCCCCCCCAACATCCTTCTCTATAAATTGGAGAGAGATGGATATGATGGGGTGTCTGTTTGGTGGATAAGGAATTGGTTGGGCACTCACATCCAGAGGGTAGTAGTCAATGGCGCAATGTCTCGATGGGATTGTATTGGGACCAGTGCTATTTAGTGTCTTCATCAGTAAAACAGACAAAGGGATTGAGTCAGCAAGTTTGCAGAGAACACCAAGCTGAGCGGTGCAGCTGACATGCCTGAGGGAACTGGATAAGCTTGGGATGTAGGCCCATGTGAACCTAATGAGGTTCAGCAAGGCCAAGTGCAAGGTCCTGCATCTGAGTTGGGGCAACCCCCAGTATCAATACAGGCTGGGGATAAACAGATCAAGAGCAGGCCTGAGAAGAAGGACTTGGGGGTGCTGGTGGATGAGAGGCTGGACATGAGGCAGCAATGTGTGCTTGCAGCCCTGAAAGCCAACTGTATCAGCCTGGAGAAAGTTCCAGGGAGACCTCATTGTGTCCTCTCAGTACCTAAAGGGGCCTTATAAGAGATGAGTACAAACTTTGCAGCTTGGCCTGTTGTGATAGGACAAGGACTAAGGGTTTTGAACTAAAAGAAAGTAGACTTAGACTGCATATAAGGAAGAAATTCTTTACTTTGTGGGTTTTGACGCACTGGCAAGAGTTTGCCAGAAAAGTTGTGGCTGTCCCATCCCTGGAAGTGTTCAAGGCCAGGTTGGATGGGGTCCTGGTCTAGTTGAAGATGTCCTTGCTCATTTAAGGGGGAGTGGACTGAATGGATTATATTAGTTTCAGGTTCCTGTTTTGGCTTTTGTTTTGGCAGTTGGTGGTTGGTTTCTTGGGGGTTTTATCAAACATTGGCTTTATTTTTGCCACTCTTCTTTTACTTAGTTTGCTAGCTTCTGGCAGCAGGAACATGTAATTGCTCTGGTCATACAGGACCTCGTGCCGAAGTGCTCTGAGCATTACAAATAATATTAACAG